TCCCGCAGAGCGACTCCAACGCTTTCCGTGGTGACTGTACGAAGTATGATGGGGCTGGTCGTTCTTTGCCTGTCGCACCCTATAGTTTGCTGAGTGCCCGAGTGAAACTTTTGAATGAGCGTATTGCGGAAAGTATGAACGCCAGAACCAGATCGGCCTCTTTCTAACTTGAAAGGTGACATAAAAATCGAACAGATTCTGATGATTTTGACGCACAATCAAGTGATCTAAAATGTAGGCATTCGAAGATTCACTGACGGTAGCGAAAATCCGAAGTTTGGTGGCGTCTACTACAAAAACCGTGACATCTACATAAAAGTTGGTTATGTAACATGTGTTAAGAATTCGACGAACTATATCTTAGACTTTATAACTTGTGACCCTACAACCTACAACTACCCGTTTAGGAGATAAATAGCAGCAAAGTCAGGGTATCTGACGAATTGCACAAGAACTATTTGCGAATGTCCGTTTTATTAACCACTTTTGTGGTGGCGATAACTCACGAACGGCTCATCCGATTAAAATGATTCAATATACGGCTGAGTTCGATTTTTGATCACTAATTGAATGGTCAATACCGTGAGTGCGAAATGTTCAAAGGTCGTGGTGTCTGTGCGGCGTGCAGCGTGCATCGCCAAAAATTCGTCGTGCGCTGGGCTGGGCACAGAGCTCTCGGGGAGGGGGGGCACCTAGTCCACGCATGGCCGGGCACGGGCAGGTCGGCGTCGGCACAATTTGCACAGCGGATCTGCAGGCAGGAGCAGGCTCAGAATGTCCTTGAGGACCAAGCAGGCTTGCTAGACTGCGCGATTAGTCGCGAATTGCGCGATTTTTTGAGAGGCTTGCGCGACTCGCGACTTGCGACTTTTTGTGCGATTCGTGTTTTGGCAGCGCGATTTTGCGCGACTCTGGTCCCCGGGCCCTGGCACCTCCGGCTTGGTCCGACCAAGCCGGACAGTCAGGTCAGGTCAGGACTCAGCTCCTGTCGCCGTGGGGCCTGGCCTTGGTGCTTGTCCTGCCTCCACCACTCGCGGTACTCGCGGGTCGTGGCG